ACTACTTAGGGGCCTATGGGTACGCCGCAAACCCTCAACTTCGCTGCTGGCCCGCCGCAGGTTTCCTGCGAGTCCGACGGCCTGCAGCCCTGGCTGCCGGCCTGGTCCCCGGGTAGTTTGATCGTCGAGCTTTATGGTTTTGGGGGTTTTGGATCTCGGGTTTCTGGCTCCTTATTGGATACAATTTTACATTTNNTTTTGTTATAATAAAACCCAATAGTTAGAATAAAACCCAATATAAGGATTAAAAAATACTTTTATAATGTATCCCCAACAAGGAACCAGGTTTGGGGATACGGGATTAGGCGTAGACTTTGAGCCTACATTGCCAAGTTTGGTGCGAAGAAGACCCCCGAGCCCTGAGGCCCCTAGCGTTGCTCTCAGGCTCCCAAAACAAAGGAGATGTAACACATATAGGTTTAAGGTTTAGGGTTTATAGAGGTTCAGGGTTTAGGGTTTAGGGGTTTAGGTTTTAGGGTTTAGGGTTTAGGGTTTGGTATGCTGATCTTCATCCAACGCGCACTACGCGCACGACAGCGCACCTGTACAGGCTGAGCTCCGAAACCTGGTGCCGGCTCTCTCGCAGAAAGAGCAAGGCCACGCCTCTATTGGATGTTGCAGGGAACAGCGCTTAGGGTTTGGTGTAATTACGCCAAACCTGAACTTTAAATGTTGAGGTTTAGGGTTTCTGTGTCGGGGTTCAGGACTTGTAGTGCCTATAAGCTACCAGTAGCTTCAGCGGTACATCTTACCGGCGCAGGGTGCAAGGTGAAGATTCGCACACACCCGCTAAAATAGATCCGGACGATGCTGCATCGCGCAGGTTCAGGGACTAGAGTCTAGAATTTAGGGGTTTAAGGTTCAGGGTTTGGGTTTTGTGGTGTCTTTGTTCAGAAATTCGTGGCTACTTTGCTGGCAATCGTCAGTGGCATATTGGAGTTCGGGATCGCCACGGCCCGTATGCGAGCACGTAATTTCCCAGTATCGTACTTATCGTTTCGCGGCGAGTCACGTGCTGTGCACTTGAGGTTGAACACGATTGATGCTACACCCATACGGAATTCCAGTGAGCAGCTAGGCTGCTGTGAGAGGCAAGTTGTCTTTTTGAATCGGGATAGCTGGCACGGTTTGTGCTCGCAGTCGCTTGGGCAGACTGTGTGCAAGGGCAAAGCCACGTCTTGCAGAGGAATGCTAAACTGCTAAACTCGAAACCCCGAACTGCAGTTCCCCGTGTCCAGGACAGCGCCGACTTCGATCGAAGACGGCTCTTAGACGCGCGTGCAACTTGCCATGTATTTCAACTGGCATGTTACAGGACGCCGCATGACGTGCGCTGTTGGTTTAGGGATTGCCACTACCTGTGTGACTGAGGGTGGGAGTCGAGGGCCGGGTCGGAATCAGGGGCGTGTCAGGGCATCTCCGAACTTCCAACCTTTGCGAAGCATGTGCGATTGGGTTCCTCCGGCATTTGTGTAATTTAGGCAGTTTCTACACCATCCGGACACGATTCCAGACGAGGCTGACAAGTATGAGCGTTGCAGGTCGTAGGTTTGCTCGTCGCGGAGCCTGTCATAACAGATCAGGGGCCGGGGTCGCGAATCATTAGTTCAGGCTCGGTGCTGTGCTTGATGTCTCAGTGCTGCATTTTGTGTTGGGCTTTACACGAGTCACAAGTACGGTTGATGGTATAAATCCTGCATTCCCCATAATATAAGGAATATACCATAATTCCCATAGGTTAGGGTCCTTAAGGTAATGCAGGATTTATATCATCAACAGTATGTCTGCATGCCAGGCTGACTGCGATTCACGGAGCTGCAACAACCCTGTGTCCGCCTTCTGAGCCGGTGATTGAAGGCCCCGTGTCAAGCCTGTTTACGGTTAATTTCCGTGGATTGCATGCAGGAGTTGATGTTAGTCCGGTTGGGATGTCTGGAAATAGCATTGGCAGTCCGTTAAATTGCGGGACACACGTGTGCACGGCGTGCTTGAAACTGTAGCCCTTTGCATCTGGAGGCCAACAACATGAGCAACTTTGTTTACAAGGAAAAATATTTTGGCATGTGCCCCAGCAGCAGGCGCCACATATGCAAGCGGTACCCGGTAGAGGCCGAGACACTCTTCGCCGGAGGGGAGTCCGAGCTCGCAGCCATGCCGTTCTCGTTGTACGCAAGGCTCCGTGCAGCTGAGGAGGAGGCTGACAAGGACCGGCTGCGTGCGCGGCTCGTGTGGTTCCTCGGCCTCCAGCACTTTTTTTTTTGGGGCTCCGAGAACTGTAACCGGCCAGACCCAGTTTCTACTTGTGCATTGGCTTCTTGGCTTCCAGGGCTACCGTATATGAAAGGGAAGCTTGCGGGAAGGCTTTATAAGCTTTATAAGGCTTCTGAAGGGCCATCTCGGTGAATGTAAGCGCCAGGGAATGTTGTGGGAAAGCTGAGGCTCCTGGTGGTGCTGGAGACGATCTCCTTGCTTTGCTTTCCTCAGGTGGCCACTCTCACGCATGGAGTGTTCTTTCTGATCCCGCTGGGGGCGCTCTTCCTAGCTGCCACGATCCGTCTTTACTCCAGGTCTCGCATCCTGCTGGCTGAGCCACTTTGTGTCCTTTGGCCTGACAACCATTCACGATACGGCCTGGCGCGCGAACAGGCGCCCAACCTGCGCTTTGGCGGCTTCGTGTGGGTACTGAAGCTTGTGTGCGCTTTGACTTTCTGGGCGAGCCCCGCTGCCTTCAGCTTCGTGGGGGACGGTTGCCCTGACGCAGTCCCACGCCCGAATTGCAGCCGTTACACACGAGAGGATGGAAATACAATGTGCATG